GGGGGGGGGGATCACGAAAGTTATATATAGTTATGAGGGGGGATCACTTCAATAAAATAACATTTAAAGGGGGGATCGGCTAAATTTCATCGTGTTTAGCCCAAAATCCTCCGACCCCCCCCAGGCGATAAATAATGACCGGTCCCTTATGAACGGCTTCTGTCTCAACAACTGGCGCCATTGTTACTTCGCTTTCTGCCCAGAAGGGTGTTGAGTCCAACATGTCTATCAAGCCATTGAAGAGACTTCTTCCTTCCTGGACAAATATATCACCGATTCGCCTCCTGGCGTCGTCTCCAACGTAGTTGATCTTCCTTGGAAGATGGAGCTGCTCTATGAAATCTCCACTTGTTGCTGCAATTACACTCATCGCTGCGTCGATACCAAAATCTCTCCAACTTTTGGTCCAACTCTCAGGGTTGGTGAAGCGAATGAGCATGGTTCCATTGAATGCAAATTCTCCGCCAATTGGTTGGCGGAGGGCAGAACGGGTTATGGATGAATAAAGAGGAAACATGAGATGATTGGTGACCCTGCCTTCGTACTTATGTCGCCAGTAAAATGGAGCGAGGTAAGAATAGCCCTTGTTCAATCCAAGAAACATACGATAAACAAAACCATCTGTACCTGGGAAAATACAAAAAAATGGGGCTTCAGTGGCTAGGGAACCTAAAACAAAAACTGAGGATATAAAAGATGCTTAAAATATCGTTGAAAATGGAAGCAGGAAGTTAAGCATCGTTGCCGAGCAGACAGAACAGAATGATAACAGAACTGACGACGGAGTTTAGTGCTATCCGCTAGCTGAAGCTCTATTTTGTAGTCCGAGAGTCCAACTCCTTGGCTTCACATGTAAATGGTCAACTGGTTTGCCTCCTGGCAGCGAGGATTCTCAAACTTGTTTTGTTGAATTTGAACTTCTTGTCATAAATACCCTGGGTTCCAGAGGACTTTCATGCTCGGTTTCCAGTTTCTGTCAAGTCTTCATCGTGACCCGCGCGAAAAGCTCCGTTGTTTTTGTGAACTTGACGGTGCACAATCAACTTGACGTTAAATCGCTTCGCCGCTCATGGCTAAGAAGTGTCGACCGACTTCGAAACATTTCCGCCGCACTTGATCGCCGCACGCGAGCAAAAACCTCTGGTACCCAAGGATATTCATGAATTTGCTCAGCCCCAGTACTCATTGCCCCCGCCTCCCTCCCCCCGATGTAATGGTCTTTTCGAGTGACGCAAAGCTTCATCGTTTTTCTTGTTAGTCTTCACGTTTTGTTAATTTACCTAACCTTTCAAATCAGAATCAATGCAAACAACGTGAGTCTTGTCTTTGCCGTCGTCCGGAATAGCATAATGGCGAATAAAATTAAAAGCTGCCTCAAACTGCGATCCTTTCCCTCGGACGTCTGTCTTTCCAGGACACGTAGTAAAAATGTCGCTGTCTTCCGTAACCAAAGTTGCAAAGGCCATCTTACATCTACAAGCGGAGTAGCAAAATATTGAAAGAAAACGTAAATCTTGGGAAAAGGTCAGCTTTCAACTAAATAAGAGGTTTTTTGTAACTTGTCAAAGTTTGCAAGGTTTTCAGGGCGTCCTAGGGCAATTTCTAGCTTTAAGCCCGCCACCAAAATGTTGCTGATATACGCTTACGAATTTACATCGGTACAAGGCCCCGGTTTTACAGGCCGTTAAGTAACTAGTTTGTTGGACCTTTCATTAAGTCGCAATCAGTTCACGTAAATGTTGTATTTCCTTCCTTCTATAAAATATCTTTAACGCAAAGAAAAAGCTGTGTTTGAGTGGCATTCTCAAATTTAAGGCTGAAGGAACGTTTGTGTGCATGTTTTCAGAATTCAAATGCCAGTCTGCGGGATTTCCTGGCGCAGAACTCCTGGACCACCTTGTCTGTGTCGATGCTCGTCGGTGCTTGTATCCCTGTAAGTAAGAAGAAGCGCGATCCCAAAGAGCCTCTCTGCTCACATAGTAGAGCGCAACTACGTCTTGACCGTTCGCATACAACTAAATGATCGTTCTAGAGTGGCTATCGAGACTGGCATCGTCCAAATGATTGTTAGAATAGCAGTTGCGATGCGGATACAGCTCCTTAGTCGTGAGGCACAAGGTATCTTGCAGAGTTGATGGTTTTGTGAAGCAAGCTGCTGCCACTTTGACTTCCACCTCACAACCTCGCCATCAAAAATGACCCACTCAGGTCAAGTTTCTGGCGTAGTTGCAAAAGATCCTGCCCGTTGTATCTGGACTGAGTAAGTCGAGCTTTGTGGGGATGAGATATTACCCTGGGAATCGAAAACTCTGTTTCAGCAGCCTTTCAGTTGGGCTCTTGTATCAAGTGATCTACTAGAAGTAAGTAGAATGCTTTTCGCAGTTACTGTTTGGGTGTGTTGGCAGGAACATTGACTCGATGCTGTTGATTTGCTCTCCACCGCCATTTCCTTGGCCATTTCAAACAGCTCGTCCCACACTATCTCGTCATCTTGCTCGTCTTGTAGTACAATGATCACAATTTGGCTGTTCGAAACTAACTGGCTTACAGGGAGGTTCGTCCCCTTTTTAATTGGTTCAACAGTAAATATAGCTCTTAATATAACCCCGCAAAAAGCGAGATTCTTGGGTCAACACCCCGCCATTTAAGCAGAAATTCCATTAAAAATGATGATGCAAATCTCGTCACTTTAAGAAATATAATTGAATTCTAGGCTAACCTTTTTGCCATGGCTGTCTAAAGTATCCCTTGTTTGTTCGGCCAGCTCAACTTTGAATGAGACTGCGACGTCCAGTTTTCTAGCTATGAGTCAGCAGTATGAGTCACTTTGTTAGAAAAAGCACACTCCCTTCTGTAGCTTTAAACTCGATCGTAAATTTTCAACTCACCTGCGGTTGGGTGTTTTTATAAAGCAATGTACATCCGTCTTTTTTGCTAGAGAATCTCCCAAACACGAAAAAACAGATTTACACCAAGTTTGTTGAGGGCAAATACAATAAAGAAAATTGCAAACCAGGAGGAAATCAGGGCCAAAGGTGGTAAATTCCACATTTGCATAATATTTACAAAGGCACGAAACTGCACTTATCATCTTTGCCCCTGATAAACCTCTTGTTAGGATTTTTTTGCATCATATTTGCCTGAGCAAATTTGGTACAAATCTAGTTTTTTGTTCATGCGTCTGCTCTTTGCATCGCTGTGATATGCAGACTGTACTGTCAGAGGTGGTGTGGACACTTGCTTAAGTCTAACGCTTTCAGGATACCGAAAAAGATGCCTCAGTTGCTCCACATCGATGTTGCTAGCAGTTATTTATTCCAATACACCAGTTGTCCAAGTAATAACAGGACGAGGGGAGAAAGTGAGAAGTTTATGTCATAACTTCCTGGGATGGCATGATATCGCGTCAGGCGACATAGCCCAAAGCCCTAATACAAAGGTTAGTGCACGATACTTCGGTATATGATGAGAAAAAAACTTGGCTCTGTCAAATGTACCTCCCTGATTAAATTCGCCCCCAAAGTTCACTGAATCATACAAACATCTCCCCCTTGGTGACATAGTCTGCAGCCGCAATTGTAAAGACAAAACATTCGAACGCATTTACTAATTCCTGATTACTGCTAGTTTAGCACATAAAATTCTGGGAAATACTTGCTCTTTAAGTTCTAGCTGGATGAAGAGGGAAAGTAAAACAGGCGTTTGACATCAAACACATCGATGTCTTCGTCGCCTCCGGTGGCACGTCCCTACCAAGATAAAATAAGAGTGCCTTTCCGCTCTAGGCTTTGGCCATACCTTTTCAGTAGTACCGCGATTTCTTCCTCATGCTCGTAATCAAGAAACCAAGGCCCTGTCATACTTGTGCTGGAATTATTTTTGTGTGTTCCGTCCGCCATCAAAAGAAGTATTTGACCCTCCTTACAGACGCCTTCCTGGAAAAGCCTTGCAAAATCTCTTACAGCCGCTTTGGCGACTCCTTGAACTGTTTCTCGCTCGGTAACTCGATAAGATGGAGTCAAAAGAATGGAGGTATATGAATGTGGTCTGTAATTGGAAAAAAGAGAAATAAGAGCAGTATTCGTTTAGACACAAGCAGTTCTAACCATCAGTTTGCAGTCTTAGTGCTTATTGACTGAAGTTACATTATTCAGGTTTTTATCGATGGCATCGCCAACTAACAATTCAACAAAGAATGAGAAAAACCCATGTGCATGTGATTAATTTTTTGCCCCATGTAAGAGAATCCAGGACAGTCTTGGATTTTGGATTCCAAGCTGTCGATTCCGGATTCCTGGTACTGGATTCCGGACTTTGTGAGTGAAATTTGATTCTGGATTCCAATTGTAAATGGGATTCCGGCCTCCTTGAGCTGTATTCCAGATTCCAACACCCATTTCTTAGCTATTCGGTATTCGACGAACTTCATTGTCTAAAGAAACGATGAAGAAACCTTGAAACCTTCGAGTCTTCTCTCTAAGCAACGTTTGGTGAGTTGATATTCATAGGACTTTAACAACTTGTTTATTGCAATGAAAGACAAAGAAAAGTGAATCTGTAGTATGAGGATCGACTCTGCTGTGCGCAGCGGTTCGCGTTTTCTTTAATGTACAGCAATACCCAATTTATTTCAACTTGGGACAAAAATTAGAAATAAAATTAAAGTATTAAGTAAGAGCTTACGCTGTACTCTGATTGGCTAGATTGCAGAACAGGCGTATTTTTGCGCAGGTCAAGAACGCGCAAACGGACAAACGAAAGGTCTGGAGCTTGTGAGTTAGGAAACAACGCCGGCGCTTCGTGCCTTAGGGTTGATTTCCAGTGTCACATAATTTTAACGTGCATACGTGCGTAAAATTTACGTTCGCAATAAAACAGAAGCAATGCATGAAAGGTCGCTCGAAAGCGTAAAAGTTGAACCTCGCTCAACTTCTCGTTTAAGCTCAGCACTTTTATCTTGCCTCTATTTTTACGTGATTAAAATTTCGCTCAAAACATAGTCGTAGTCTTAAAACAGTAGATTTTTGATACCATTACACTGAAGCATTCAAAATAGCTCAAGCACGTTAAACGTGCCTATGTTATAATTATGGTAGCACGTGGGCTGTAAATAAACGATTGTGCATGATACTTTATTGCACAGATTTCCAGTGTATCGTACTTAATACATTACATTTTATTGCACTGCATGGTATTGAATTTAAAGTATTGTTTTATATTAGTGACAAAGCTCTTTAACCTGATTATCTTGCCCTTGTTTGTCCACGCCCGAAATCTCAGCTGACCAGTCTTGCTGTAAACGTGCCCAGGTCCCACGTCCACGGTAAGATCATGTGATTGGTACTGCTTATCACCATTAACGTATCTTAACATCTTGGTAACTAATTTTGCTGAAAGACGAAAGTAGGACTTAACAACTGCTGAATGCATTTAAGGCATTCTGTAGATAACAGATCTTTTCTTCGCAGATGATTTATGGTAAAAAATAAGCGAACGCGATAAAGGGAGGGGAGAAGAAAATGGGTGGTTAGGTCGTAAAGAGGCAAAAGTTCTTTCCTTTCCCCTATCTTATCATTCCCCGCGCAAGTTAAAATTCCCCTTTCCTAGGCCTAAGATGCCTAGCCTCTCCGAGCTGGGGAAAGAGAGCTATCTAAAATGTATCTCAGTCAGTCAAGACGAAACGGTTTTAGAAGTGGCTCAATGACAACAAAAAGAAACGAAGGAAGAAGAAGAAGAAGATGAAGATGATGATCGTGATGATGATAGCCTGTGTACAGACGTCCCCCCTCCCTCAGAAAAAATCGGGAGGGAGGGGGAAACGTCTGTACACAGGCGTACACAAGCTAGACGATGATGATCAGGCAAGCTTTTCCCTTTTTCCAGGGTAGTCCTGGAATGTGCGGCATACTTCCTAAAATCTTCACCCTATTTAGACCAAAAAGTGTGATTTTCCCTTCACCATTTCTTTTGGGCAGATTTTTTAGCACCTACGCTTTCACACGGTCTCTGTCTTCTGCTTCGTAAGCCGCATCACCCCCCCCCCCCCCCCCCCCCCCCCCCCCCCCCCCCCCCCCCC